CTTGAATGGTCTGTAACAGGCTATAGGTCAAAACTAAAATTTCGCTGAACCATGCTAGATGAACCAACCGCGCGGTTCGACATAATACACACTCAGGAGAGGGGAAATATTTTTACTCACGCGGGACCCACGCCTCGGTTGTGAGTGTGCAATCATCCATGGGGTCACCGCTGCGGGTTGTTTAGCATTTTTCAATTTCGCAATAGCATATTATCCACAAACTGATTTGCCTAAAAATTCTTAAATGAAGGTACTATCTGCTAGCCAAATAATGGAGAAGCACTCTATGGGGCTTAGGAAAGATTCAACAGATTCCTCGCATAATATCCAACACATGGGCATAAGTGAAACACTTTGACATCGGGACCCTGCTAGTCGGATTATTCTTGATGCTGAGCAAATGGGTAAATGACAACCAAAATTCTAGATTACATAAACTATCAGTTTCCATTGTATCTGATACGGATTCTAGATTCATATCAAAGTTCTAGAATGGTCTTTTAGAGGCTATGGAGTTGAAACTAAAATTTCACGTAGCATAATCTGATGAAACACTTTGACATCGGGACCCTGCTAGTCGGATTATTCTTGATGCTGAGCAAATGGGTAAATGACAACCAAAATTCTAGATTACATTAACTATCAGTTTCCATTGTATCTGATACGGATTCTAGATTCATATCAAAGTTCTAGAATGGTCTTTTAGAGGCTATGGAGTTGAAACTAAAATTTCACGTAGCATAATCTGATGAACAATTTTCAAGCTAACATAGGTATGGCTCCTTAGGAAGCTCTTTATCTTGGAAAATGCCCTTAACCTATTCGTTGGGAATAAGTAGGTAAAAGAAGAGTCTTCGGCTTAGTTATTGTGGAGAAGATGGTTTAAGCTATTGACATAATTCGAGTGAAAATAAAGTAGCTCAGGAACAATAGAAAAGTTCTACCGATAGCACAAGAAAAGATATGGAATTTTAGGCATGACGCGGTGTAGAAGGAATTAGACTTTATGACAAAGTGGGACCAGCGCAAGTAGAAGTATGCAATTTTCCGATCTTTGGAGAAATTTTGGGAATGTCCATTTTTGATAAATTGTTAGTCAAATTTGAATAGAAACATGCCTACGCGCAAGATTTAGCGGCTTTACCCCTGATGCAGGGCCAATTTCAAGCAAATTCCTTCGGTTAGGAATTTGTTTTATCCTTTTTGGTAATTTTTGTTTAGGCATATCTCAAGCGAATAAATTTGGATTTGATTTCCGTTTTTTGTGGAATGATCCTGAAGATTAGGACATTCCATTTCTGTCATTTTTTATTTTTATTTTTTTAAATGTCTTTTTTCTAGGTTTTAGCTATGTAAAGCTTTGTAAGGTTTTGTGGTTGGGACACAATTGAAGTATAAATTATTTTCTTGAGCTTTCTACTCATTGCAATTCTTTGTAAGATTTTCTCATCTTTCCTATAAACTTCCACGGGTTAAAGTCGTTTTTGAGAATAGCACAAATGAAGGGTGTACTCCATTTCAGTAAGAAAGGGAAGTTAAAGGCCGCGAACAATTAGAAAGTTCGGAAAAGACTGGAAATGTTGCATATTATTTGGCACTATCACCAGAGCTCTCAGCTGTGGATAATGTCTTTCACGGATGTCCATGATCCGATAATGTGATGGACTATAAGTCGTCGGGAGTTCAGAATGATTTGTCTCAAGAAGGTGGCACGACACAATACTTTATGTGAAAGTCTACGTATTTAGGATGTGAATTTTGATCATGCATTTCATCTATATGTTGTTAGTCTACTGTCATGGGCGGATTCAGGGACGTCCCTTCGGCCCAAATGTCCATTAAAAAATATATATAAGTAAAATATTTTATTTTTTATGTGCAATATATTTTTTTATACGTATTAGCCTGTGTTGGAATTTTTTCCTGAATCCGCCACTGTTTACTGTTAAAATTTGAGACTTGGTCTAAAAAGTATAGATCGTCTACAAATTGTTCATTAGATTAAACAAAAATGTGTAGTTGACGAAAATGATTTAGTGATATTTCAGGTTTACGAACTTGGGGCATTACAAATCTCGTGGCCTATTTATCACAAACATCAAGGCAAAAGATTTGTGCCCCACAGTACAAAATCGAGGTGTCTTTAGTTATCAACTCCGTCACATGCAAGAAAGGTTAGAGTATGAGTGTATAAGATTAATCATATAGAATGCGTCAAATTAGCTCAATCAATTCACATTCTTGAGTGTGGTCTCAATAATGCCTATTATGGATCAACTCAAATAAGAAATTATGAGTAATGCTATTTAGTCCCATTAGAATTATAATCACAATCTATGTGATACTAGATGATAGGCTAAATAAAAGGTGAAATTAAATGAGTTATTTAATTTCACTTTTTATTTAATATCATATTAGCATCATATAGAGAGAGGTTATCACTCCAGTTGGGCTAAATAGCATTATTTAGAAATTATTAAATTTGAAGAGTCTTATTGTAGCAAGGTAGGAGCAATAAATTGAAAATTGCAATGGTTTAGAGGATTTTATATGGGATAGATTTGGTAGGATATAAATAGTAGGTAATATTTTTATTGAACAATATAATTGTGCGAGGAAATAAGATTTTACGAAAAAATGGCAGGAGACTTTTATTACTACTCTTGCAATTGGCAAATGATGAAAGCTTTTCTTTCTACAGTTGCTAGAGGCTGGAGGATATGCTTTTAGCATTTCCTTACATAATCAATTTGTATCCATTTGTGCCTTTTTATAGGCATTCAAGTTGGTGGCAATTTCCACTGTCATACGAGTTCAAGATAATTCTTTTTCTTCTTTCTTTTCTTTTTATTTATTATTATTACAAAATATCTGCACTCGCTCTCGCTCTCGCTCTCGCTCTCCAAGGCAATCTACTGAGTTCTAGAGAGCTCCAAATATGTAGTTTGCTAATAGTCCTCATTGGTACATATTTTGGTAACTCCAATAATCTCTCATAGTGCTTTGAACTTTGCTCATTGTATATCTTTGGTAAATATGTTTGCTAATTGCTTAAGTCTCGTAACGTTTGAGTCCTATTTCTTTATTTACTTCAGCTTCTCTGATAAAGTGATACTTGATGCCAATGTGTCTTTCAAATGGCAAGGCCTAGACCCCCTTGAAAGAGCAATGTTTTGAGAACTGAATCGGACTGGCCGGTCTGACCAGGAAAATTGAGAACTAGGTAGAAATTCGGTTCGGTTAAGGCTTAAAACTTGATTAGCTCAAAACTGGGAAAAAACCATTTTATTTATCCGGTTTAATGATTAACCGGTGGCCCGAAACTGGTTTATCGCGTTTTGCCTAATTTTTATTTTATAATCATAAACTACAAACTCCAACTTTCAACCCAGTAATTGATAGGCCCAGAAAATCTCACAAGCATTTGTTGGCCCATCTATTTATAGGACATCATTCTAGTGCTTTAGTAAAAGGATTCCAATGTGGGATCAATTCCTTTGGCTGTGGAACACGCATGTGTATATATGGTGGATTTCAATGTGGGATCTACTATGTTACTGTTCATATATATTTTATAGTCACTATACCAGAAATTACCTTTTGCAACGGTCAAAAAACGTTGCCTAAACCCTTTTGCAATGTTCGTGTGTATGTTGTGGGATGCGATGTTGCCATAGAGTCTTTATATACGACAACGTTCCTTGACCGTTGCAAAAGGGTTTAAAGAACGTTGCCTTTTATTTTCCGCAACATTCATTGAACGTTGCGGAAAATGATTGAAAGTTGCAGAAACCTATTTTGTTGCAGAAAAGGTTTTTGCAACATTCTCTCACCATTGCCGTAGGGTTTTTTTTTTTTAATTTTAAATCGAAGATAAATCCAAATGAACAAATTTTGAAATTGCATAAATTTGATAATTTCTTTACAAATTTTTGAATCATACAGTAAAATATCAGCAATTGTGATATTGGAACAGGCTTATTTGAACATGCTGTTGATAGGCAATATTTAATTCATGAGTTGGCACATCATTGAACAGTAAAATTTATTTGAAAATCGGGAGACACTTTCCAAGAGTACCACTATTCATACAACTTTTCCCAAATTGGAAGACTTCACAGCATTTTCCCTCCTTTTCCCTCATTTCCTTCTCTCTCGGTCGTTCATTCCCATCGGCCATTTCTGCCAATCCGGCAGCACCCCAATAGTGATTTCGACAGCATCCGTGTGACAGTATCTCTTCGTCGACATCGTCGAACCCAGGTGACCCACACTGTTCAGTTTCAGCTTGAAATTTTTCCAATTCTACATATTTCTTCACTTCTTTATTTTAGCAAATTTGTTGTTTGCAAACCATGAAAAATGCCATTGCTTCAAAAAAAAATTGAATGACAGTGAATGTAGTTATTTAACTTAAAAAAAGATTGGATTCAATTTGTTCTCTGCTATATTTCTCGACTTCCACTAGTTAATCAATAGAACTTTTTTTTACGGGATTTTTGGTCTCATCTACTTGTGTGGTTCATTCTCTCTCCTAGTTGTTTACTGTGCTTCCTTGCATACGATAGTCTATAACCCCCCATCCTTCACTTCATTGGCTAGTAGTTGCTATGAAATCATTACTCCAAAGAGAAATGTTTAGAGGAACGAGTGCAAGTGTTGAAGATACAAGGAGCCGAAAAGGATGAATCGATAGCATTAAAAGTGAATCAGGTAGAACAATGTAAGACCAAAGAAGTCAAAGAGAGAAAGGTGTTTTAGGAATGGAATATAATTCTCATTTTCTTCTTAACTTTTAACAATATAAAAAAAATTAATAAGATCAAAATATGCATAATCCTCCAACTCCAATCTTTCAGATCTGAAATCCGAATCCTTGAAAACCAAATACCCAAATTTCTTGTGAAGAAAAGATAAATAAAGTAGAAAGAGGATAATAAAAAGCAAAAAAAGAAAAAAGAAAATGGTGGAGATGCATGTATTGGCCATTGCTACCATTGATGGATATAATTAAGTTATATGAAGGTACTCCTGTCAACTTTAGTAATGGTGGGAAATGCTTATGGAAAAACTACAAATTTTAGTGGGGGGTTTTAAAATAAGATAAATCAGTAGCAGCAGTTAAAATCCAGTGTGCACATTTGCAGATAGTTGTTTTATTAAAAATAAATAATATGTAAAAATTTATATGTAACAAGCTCATTTCATGTGAAGAAAGGAGCGACATGAAAAATTAAGTCAATCCCGGTATGTCTCCAACATTGGATTCGATTTATTTTTTTAAGACATTGAGTCTTTTGCTAACAATTTTTGCTTCATTTGTGGACGTAGGAAATAATATGGAAGGTGGCATTGATGATTTTTTGTTGGAAACCGAAGATGAGATCGTTGCAGAGAATAGGAACGTAGTGGAAGATCAAATGTTAGGAGGTGATGGTGTCGTTGTGCCTAAGGTGGGAATGATATTTAGCAGTGAGAATGAAATTTTTGAATTGTACAAACAATATGCATACAGCGTAAGTTTTTTCGAAAAAAGGAAATTCAAAAACAGGGGCCGGTGGAGTTTTGAGATTTGTGAGATATACTTGTGGCCATGAAGGTCGAAGGCCAAGTACTGCTACCGAATCTCTAAGGCCACAACCAACAATTCAAATCGATTGTAAGGCTAGGATAAGTGCATCTTCATATGATCATGGCTCTTGGAGAATTAATGTAGTCCACCTTGACCACAATCATGGAACAAGCCCATCGAAATCTAGGTTGTTTCGATGCAATAGAGAATTCAGTGCACATGTGAAGTGGAGGCTTGAAGTGAACGATGTGGCAGGAATTTCGTTGCACAAAAGTTATAACTTCACAGTTGTTGAGGTAGGCGAATATGAAAATATGACTTGTGTAGAAAAAGATTGTCGGAACTATATCGAACAAATGAGACGGTTGAGACTCGGAGAAGGAGATGCCGCCGCAATACAAGCGTATTTCTCAAATATGCAAGTACAGTGCTCAAGGTTTTATTTTAGTACTGATTTGGATGATGAATCACGGTTGAGGAATATATTTTGGACAGATAATAGGTGTAGACAGGCATACAAGGAATTCGGCGATGTGGTCACGTTTGATACAACCTATCTCACAAATAAGTATGATATGCCTTTTGCTCCTTTCGTTGGCATCAATCACCATGGACAATCAACACTGCTCGGTTGTGATTTGCTTTCGAATGAGGATACAAATAATTTTGTGTGGCTATTCAGGACATGGTTTCAGTGCATGCACGGTGTAGCTCCCCATGGAATAATCACTGATAAGGATAGAGCTATGCAAAATGCAATTCAAATTGTTTTTTCCAAATACAAACCATATGTGGTGTTTATGGCACATTTTGAAGAAGTTGCCAGAGAAGTTTGGGTACCATATTGATTAGGGTTGTATATTTTCTGATATACATGGATTGGTGTATGACTCCCAGTTCGTTGAAGAGTTTGAAGAAGGTTGGATCACAATGATCAATAAGTTTGAATTGCATGAAAATGATTGGTTATCTGGACTATACGAGAACATAAAGCATTGGGTTCCTTGCTTTCTGAAAACTATTTTTTAGGCTGGGATGTCAACAACGCAAAGAAGTGAGAGTATGAATGTATTTTTTGACTGATATGTACATTCGAAGACTTCATTGAAATAGTATGTGGAACAATATGAGCGAGCACTACGAAATAAGGTTGAAAAGGAATTTCAAGCTGATTTCAAATCATATTCACAAATGCTATCATGCGTAAGTATGTTTGAAATGGAGAAACAATTTCAATCTGTTTACACCATCTCAAAATTCAAGGAGGTTCAAGAGGAGTTTGTAGGGAAGATGTATTGCGACCTCATATCTACTTCAGAAAATAGTTTTGGGACAATGTACGAGGTCTGCGAAATTGTGGCATGCGGCGAGCGAATGAAGAAAAAAATATTTTTTTGTCTCATTTCAAAAAGAGAATTGTTAATTCATTTGCATCTATCACTTGTTCGAGTTCAGGGGTATAATTTGTAGGCATGCGATATCGGTGTTGATTCGTAATTGCATCACATCAATACCGGAGAGGTACATACTGAGACGATGGAGAAGAGATGTTAGTAGAGCACACGCGAGGTGGCTGTGAACTACACTGGGTTGGTTAGTACACCTAGTTAGGTGAGATATGACAGTATGTGTCATCTTTTGCTGGGTTGGCAGACCTTGCTGCTGATGACGACGGGCAGACTCGTGCCATAATGGAGTGGATCGAATCACAGCGTACGATTCTTACGTTGACACGGACGAGTACAACTAGTAATGTCCTCGCACATCGTACGGTACAATCAAGCACTCAGTATAGTGTATCGCAAAATACCTTGAGCGGGAGCGTATGGGACTAGTCGTATCGAGAAGAAAGGTGTACCAAAGAAACTTCGAAGTAAAAGCCCGTTGGAGTCGAGTTCGAAGAAAGTAAAGGTATTTTAAAATATTATAATTCATATTCTGCCTAGTTGTTAGAACAAATCCTCATACGCTCGTTTTGATATACAGGTAACGTTGACATCGAGCAAAGGAAAGAGACCAAAATCGAGTCAGAGTGCTACTCCAATTGGTACACAGGAACTTCAAGCATCTCAACATTAGCAAGATGCAATACCAACAACGTCATCGTATTGTAATTGATCATTTATATGTAGACTTAATTGTTATGCAAATTCTCCTCAACTATCTTATACTACTTCAAACATTTCAGTCCTCGAGGTGGCAAATTCTCAAAAACTGCTAATCACTCTTTGTATTTTTGTTTCACATATTTCTACTATAGTTTCCAATAATTCAAAAGATGATTTTACTAAGCACTTTATGCTACAACTTAGAAATCATTTTTATGTGAGTTGATGCTTAGTGTATCCTCCAGATTTATTCATGCCTGGATTTTTTTGCTTTTCATATAAAATACTTGGAGATATTTAATAAAGTTTAGGCTTTGAATTTATTAGGTTCTTGTTTCACTCTTTTCCCTTGTCCTGGTGTATCTTTCCTACAGCTACTATTTTAAATTTTTTATCTGGATGCTTATGCAACATCACTATAATATTGATGTGTATTATTTCTAGGAACCTCTTCATAATGTATATCATAGTCTTGAGAAGATTCTGAAGTTCAGAGAGGAGTTTGTGAAAGACGGGCAGTCGGCTTTTTGTACAATTTAGTTAGCAATGATTCAATTCTTGTGACTGCTTGGAGTGGTGGTTAATAAATTGTCTGTGTCTGAGAATCAGCAGGACAATAACACTAGATTAAGTTTTTCTCTGCATAGAAACTCAAAAGTCACAGGCACATTTTGACTAGAGATTATAATAAATTATGCATCCATTTAATAAGATAGAATTTATGCTCCAAAAAAGTCACCTTTAACAGATACATACACACTTCAATAATAGAAAGCACTTTACGCATTATGGGGCATCTTCTTTTAATTTACATACTCTTTATTATTATGGTTACCATAACTGTAACAAACCAAAGGTTTCTACACATTTAAAGCACATATCAATGGGACCTTGTGTCGGCTAACTTTGCATCCTTCACAGATTATAAGGACAGAAGCCAGCAACATTTTTAACAATATTGAACCTTGTAACTTAACTAATTTCTGAAAAGAAACCCACTTTTCAGTTTCAAGAAAAGCGAGTATGAGCCTACGAAGTCACAGATGCGAAACTTGTGTTGATAATTATCACAAACAAGGTCTAAAAGTCGCACGAAAAATGATAGCACACAAAAAATGACAGCCAGAACACATCCAGGATTAAAGAATTAACATTTACAGACACATAATTATAAAATACATGGGAATATCTTAATGAAGTTTACACTTCACACATTGATTTATGTAGCACAAATCCCAGCAAAGAGTTTTGCTGTTTAAATACATATCCAAATCACAACAGTCAGCAAGGCACAAGATCATCCCTTAATAAGTATCATACTCACAAATTAAAACTCAGAACGCCAAATCAAATATATTAATAAGTATCAAAAATTAATTCAATTCTACTTCCCATATATGAATAGCACTATTTGTAGAATTAGTGATTTTTCACCCATATATAAAAGTTAAGTCAATTCAAGCTCAAATAAATTGATATCAATATCGGTTCTGTCTTACAGCATGCCAGTAGAAAAATTAAGGGAATTTTAAAGCTACAATTAGAAAGAACTAAATTTCAAACCACAAGACCTTCCAAAAGAAGGAAATATGGAGAGGGCCGAATTTCAAACCCAAAAGTTCACTACGAAGAGTCGTACAAATGCAAACATACATAACATCAACGTTTATTAAAAAATGGGGCTACTAATGCAGCCGGCCACTTTCATTTCTCATTCTTCTCCATGTTGTGAATTGTCATGTTCATATTCATCGAAATTTGGACCTCTTCTTCGTCGGGGAGATGAATTTGATATTGAAACATGCACGACAAATCCGACACTGATTCTTTCGATACAGGATTTGCCTTGCTATCGACGGCACTTGATTCACCACTTGATTCTTCTTCTCCAACCCACTCCAAAAATCGCATTTACGACTACAGCATTTGAATAGTTTTCCTTTGTTATCGGTCTCTCTCTCCACCTCAAAGCACTTCTGGAATCCACTCTTGCAAACAGGGCAGCGATCTTACTTCGACATTCATCGAAGAAATGTCCCTTCGATCTGCAACTATGACAAATTCCGGAATTCTTTCCTCCTATTCTACAACAGCAATCAACCACCCAACATCAGTTTCAAGCACCAAATGAACACAACAACACAATCTCACCATTGCAAATTACCAACCTTAAAAAATCCATGAACCCATACAGTAAATGCAACAAACCAAAATAAAAAATTTCAGTCCAAGAGGGTAACATTTAGGAGTCAAAACCTGTTAGTAGGTTAGGTTTAAAGAGATTGGAATTGCTTGAATAGACCAAATCAATCCATTAACATCATGCGTTGTAAACTTGAGCCATAATTAAGATAACCTTTCTTTTCTTTTCTTTTCATCTACTTTTTTCTTTTTCCCTCAATGTTTATTTTTGCAACTATATGAAAATACAGACGAACTATCTTCTAATTTTCTGTTCATTGGTAAGAATGACCAAAATCTAGGCAATAAGATTTGTTCACCAAAATTGTGAGTTAGAAAAAAAAATTGAACGAACACAACTTTTATTTGATGACCAATATTGATGTTGGTTTAAAATTTCAGTGTAGTCCTAATTAGCTAATTCTCGAAGCGAATTCTTGAATTTGAAAATAGACCGATCTATTCAATGTTATAATCAGACTTGCTTTTTTCCCTATATCAATAACTAAACTAAAATGCAATTCTCCAGGTACAAAATGTGAATATAAATCTTAAAATTTACTATCGAGCTTGCAAGTTTACACAACTTTAGATTACTATGCTTTTATCTTGACTGCAAGGATACCTTGAACATTGATGTACCATGTAGTAGTGGCCATGGGCCAAGCCGGCTCGGCCCTTAACCTCATGAGCTCGGCTCGCGCTCGCGACGAGTTGAGCTTGGGCTCAACTAGTTGATTTTGGGCGAGCTCGGCTTGGCGGACGAGCTCGTGGGTCGAGCTGAGTTTTGGCTCGTGGGCTCGTCTTTTTTTTAAATATATAAATAAAGAAAAACACAAATAATGTAATGAAAACACTTTTAAAAAAATACAAATAATTTAATGAAAACACTTTTTTATTTTTTTATTTATATCATATTGTAATATTTCTATAATGAAGAAGAATTATTTTTTGAAATACATTTACAAAAATTTTTTTTTTTTAATTTTCTTTTAAAGTAGATAAAATGTAAACTCTCCTTCTTTATTCAGGTTTGGGACCGACTACATCAATTTTAAGTAGGCGAAATTAAAAATTTTATACGAATAACTTGTTGTAACGTGTACAATTTTTTAAAGAAAATTAAATTTAACGATTAAAAAATAAGAAAATTTTGATTAATATAATTAAATCAAATATCACTTACTTGACGACATGCAATTTCAACATATTTATCTTATAGTCGAAAATGAATGTCCTACCAATCATTCACACACATTAACGCTTCTAAAACATTTTCTTTCAATCGGCTTTTGACATCGGTCAAAACCCTTTTACCTGTACTAAAAGCAGACTCTGAAACAACAGTGCTAACCGGAAATGTCAACAGATCTTTCGCAATTGCAGAAACAATTGACCAACGTCTTTCATACTTTCGCCAGAATTCAATTACTTCTTCTGAA